ACACACCACTCATGTCCTGTTAAGAAAGATGAGAAGAATAAAGACTTGACCGACAAATCCAGACATACTGGGCTTCACCTAAGAAACTGACTTCTCAGATAACTTCCAAATCCAGTATCGCAAGGAAACTGTCCTATTCTGTCAGTCACTGTGCTGAAGCCTGCAACATACTCATCAAATTCACTCCCCACAGTTAACCAGTCTTGCTGAAAGGACATACAGCTAAAGAGTGGCTGAGCTTGGTAATATCACTTGCATCTACTGTTCGGAGTTCACTACCCAGGCAAGGGTCTAGACAAGAATGCCAGTCTTAGGAGACTGTTTAAGAAGATTCAGGATCATTTCCAAGCCCTACTGGTGACATTAGGGTCAGATTCTTCAAGGCCATTATTTGATTGTGTGCTACAGCCTAATAGAATCAATAGGCACGGATTTGGCAATAATGTCCATGGTCCTTTCAAAGGAGCATGCAGTGGAAAAAACAGAAGGTTCTGATTCATCCTAAGTGTTGTGTGGCAGTTGGTCTCAGGGCACCTGCATCAGGGTCCAGGACCACCATCCCATCCTTTCTGTACTTTACATGACTGCACTTAGCTCCACAAACTACACAACCAGTAAAGCTTCCCAGCATTTTTTCCACTGTTTGTGGGGATTCCTGCAAGGTTTGCCTAGCAGTGTGTGGTAATATTTTATTTGTGCTTTAATAAAAGCTTGCCTGGAGATCAGAGGAAAGAGTAAGCCATTATAAGTAAACAAAGAAGTCAGGCAATGGTAGCACACGTCCTTAATCCTATCACTTAGCAGGCAGGATCTCTGTGTGTTCAAAGCCACACTGGAAACAGAGCCAGGTGTGGTGGTACACGCCTTGCTTCCAACACTAGTTAACCATGGAGGTCTGGAGGTCTGTACAGACAGACAGAAAGTGACAGAGCTGTGTAGGAAGAGGGAGTGAAGTAGCTGGACAGAGGGAGCAAATCAGATGGCAGAACAGCAAGGCATATAGGATTGGGTAGACAGGAAATGACTCCCATTGGAAGCTGCAGAGTTGGTGAGGTGAGATTGGCTGGTGGCATTCCCTATTTCTCTGATCTCTGAGGCTTCCACCCCTATATTTGGCTTTGTGGGTTTTTTTTTTGTTTGTTTGTTTTTTTGTTTTTTGTTTTTGTTTTTCGAGACAGGGTTTCTCTGTGTAGCTTTGCGCTTTTCCTGGAGCTCACTTGGTAGCCCAGGCTGGCCTCGAACTCACAGATATCCGCCTGGCTCTGCCTCCTGAGTGCTGGGATTAAAGGCGTGCGCCATCAATGCCCAGCTGGCTTTGTGTTTTTTACTTAATAAGACCATTTAGAAATTCATCTACAGCAGTGAACTCAAACTCTACCCCCAGCTAACTAGGATAGCAAGAGAAGACTAGATGAGGTGAGGGTAGAGTCTTGTTTACCAACATGGCAGGCAACAATGTCAATTAACTTGTACCCAAAGCATTAAAAAAGATTGTCCCCTTCAATACTGAATGTGACTAAGACCCAACCTCTCATGGGAGGCTAGATCTCCTACTTTTAGATTTGGGAATCTGAGCAGATGGATAATCACAAATGACTTACAACTGGAAAATTACTAAACAGTTACCAAATGCACAGAATGAGTAAAAGACACTACCAATAACAAGAAAACAAGGAGCTTAATGCATGGTGTTTACCAAAAAGGCATTCATGTGTGGGAAAGAATAAAAATTAGAAATTTTCAATTTGGTATCATTTTAATTATTTTCACCTTTACTGAACACGGAAGATGAGCTATAAAGAATATGACAGAACCACATTTTCCAGGTCTGTGTTCTCTGAAGGTCTTAATTAGATTCCGCTTCCATCCCAGCAGAGCAAGAAGAGGGGGAAGGATTCCAGATGCCGGATTAGGACTCGGGAGGTATCTCAATTGGGAGCATGCTACCCAGGCTGAGTACAGTCTCCAGCACCACATAAACCGGGTGGGGTGGGCACACCCGCAATTCCAGCACTAGGTTGTAGTGTTAGCAAGATCAGAAGTTCAATGGCTTCTTGGCTGTGTAGCAGGTTCAAGACCAGCCTGAGCATCCACTCTGGCTTCAGAATAAAAGGAGTTGAGACTTGGCCTTACTTAACCGACTTCCTTGTTTTGAGCTCTACTCCTCAGAGAAAGGCAGTGGCTATGGGTATTGACTAACGTGCTGGGGGAGAGGCCTGCTTGGTGGGTGTCCTTGCTAGTTAGGGTGACAGGTTCTACTGCTGAATTTATTCTCTTTAAAGATGTATACACAGCATTTTGGCGTAACTTTGTGTAAGTGTTATTGTCCAGGGAGGCTTCAGGGTCCAGCCTTCCTATCCTTCTGCTCTTTTTGCTCGATGCCTTTCATTGCCCCGCTCTGTTCCTGTCACAGCAACGTTCATCGCGTTAGTCAGTGAGCTTCACTCCTAACGTCTCCTAATATGTGTGCTTCCACATCTGGCTGCCGTATGTGCACACATACACTACTTTAACTTTCATTCACCTTCTTATTTTATATTTACTTATTGATTTTGTTTTTACATCCTGACCATAGTTTGCCCTCCCTCTTCTTCTCTCAGTCCCACCCCCCACCATCTCACCTCTTCCTGCCTGTCCCCTCTACTCTTCTTCTGTTTCTCTTCAGAAAAGGGCAGGCCTCCCATGGATGTCAACCAGCCATGGTATATCTAGTTGCAGTGAGACTAGGCACCTCCTCATCTGTTAAGTCTGGATGAGGCAATGCAGTATCAGGAATAGAGTCCCAAAGGCAGGCAACAGAGCCAGAGACAGCCCCTGCTCCCACTGTTAGGAGTCTCACAAGAAGACCAAGCTACACAGCTGTAACCTATGTGCAGAGGGTCAGTCCCAGGCAGGCTCCCTGGTTGGCAGTTCAGTCTCTGGGAGCCCCTGGGAGCCCAGGTTAGTTGATTCTGTGGGTTTTCTTGGATGTCTTTGACCCCTCTGGCTCCCACAATCCTTCCTCCCCCTCTTCAATAGGATTCCCCGAGCTCCACCTAATGTTTGGCTGTGGGTCTCTGCATCTGTTTCTATCAGTTGCTGGAGGAAGCCTCCCTCATGGCAGTTGGCTAGGCATGATCTATGAGTACAGAAGAATATCATTAGGAATCATTTTATTGACTCTCTTTTTTCTTTCTTCCAGTTGTGTTAGCTTCTATCCTATGTCTCTGGGATGTCCAGACTGTGGGTCCTGGCCCTCCAGGCAGTTTCATTTACTTAAAAAAAAAAAAAAGTTTATTTATTTATTTTGAGACAGAACCACAAATATCCCAGGCTGGCCTCAAACTTACTGTGTAGCTAAGGATGACCTTGAACTTATGATTCTCCTGCCTCCACGCCCAAGTCTTGATATTACAGGTGTGTACCACCACCCCCACATTTTATTGTGTGTAGGGGATTGAACTCGGGTCTTTGGGCATAGTGAGCAAGTAATCTACCAACTGAGCTACATCTCTAATTCCCCCAAATAGGATCATTTTATACATATTTTATATATGGCTTATCTCAAGATTTTATGAAAATCTCCAATATCCATCTGACTCTAATTCATTTTTTTCTAATTCACTTTTAACAGCTGCAAAATATTGCTTACTAATGATCTAATGTGCATATGCTTTCATTTTCTTTCCTTTAGTCTTTCACTTTGTCAATTGCGCCATAATAAAAAAATTTTTTTAACTGTATGTACTATATTGCTAAGCCGGGTGTTGCTAACTCAAAGGATGGTACTATGTATTTTTCAAAGGAAGATGCTAATAGCCTTTGTTTCTATTGTTACAGTGACTCTCGGGATGCTTTTCACACTGGGAAAGTAAGGTGCGGGACTGCAGATGCCCTTGAAGGTCCTTTACAGTCTGTTCTGAACTTCCCTGCTTCTGTGGCCCTGCACCTACTGACCTGCAGGCTGCTGTGGTGATGTGGGACTCCTCCCTACTGCAGCATCCCGCAGGAGGCTCTGGATCTGATACCTGCAGTTGGTACACAGAGTCCTCAGTGTGGACTCTGGGGGACGGTCTGGGGAAGGAGGCTTACTTTGATCTGCCTGTGTCCTGATATGGGGGTCAAAATGAGAACTGGACTGTGAGGCTGATCACTAAGCTCCAAGCTTCTGCAGTATATGCTGTATTTTACCTTAACAGAAGTCAAGGTGCTTCTGGACACACCCATAGCAGCTTCAGTGTTTGGGCATTTTTTCTAGGGTAATTCTATGATTTTAAAAATAAACGTAAACACTTGATATATTTTCGGAAAGTTTACAGCTCTTTGTGTCTATCTGTCCATATTGCACCTTCTGATCCAGGTACAGAGATCTAAACCTATGAGTCTTCAAGCATACTGTCCATCTAGACAGAATAATAGCACTAGGCAATGCTCAGGCATACCAGGTAGCCAGCTTCAATCCATTCACTTCATGTGCACACTCCCATTTATCCTGAAGCCCCTCCACACCCCGGGTTAATTCCTGTCTTTATTTAACAAATGGGCAATGTCCTTCAAGGTCACAGAATCAGGAGGTAGTGCGTTCTGTCTGCAGAACTCAGATTCTTAACCCAAGGCAAGACTGCCAAGGCAGCAGCAGCATACTGCATGGCTTCTGGAATACTGCATGGCTTCTGGAATGTCAGCAATGTCACCCGAAACTCACATAGTGCCCTTGCATCCATCATCTGTAGAGGCTGTAAGTGTTGACACACCCATATAAACACCAACTAAACACAGACAGACAGTTCGCACCACATTACATTTTTTCTGTGTGGTATGGGGTAGGCTGGAATCCACACAGATTCCAGGTTCCAATTCCAGCTCTGCCTGCAGACCCTAGGCAAGTTCCCTGGCCTTTCTGATGAATCACACTGCGGGTTCTTCCTTGCAGAGTCTCGAGGAAGCACTGGGTGAAGAGCAGAGCTTGCTGTAAACACACCCTTTCTTTCCCCTCCTCTCTTCCTTCTGGGGAGAAGGCGGGCAGCGACTTGGCTCAGCGTGGCTGTCCTCTGGGTGCTCTCCGCCCGATTTCCAGCTGCACAGGAGCCAGCCTCAGTGCTAGAGCCAGACAGTTCTTTTTCCACTAGGCTGCCCCAGCCGGGTGGTGGACATGGTCTTCGCAAATAGCTATTTATTTGCTTATCTACAGGGAAGGAGGGGAGAGGGGCAAGTGATAGAGGACAAAATCAATTACTATTTTTCATCTTTGACAAAGTAATTAAGGCCATAGCGACTGGCTAATTCCGACCGAATGGCTGCGCACTGATGGATGCGGATTTACAGCCTCCTTGGCTGTGGTGTGCACCGGCCCAGATTATCACTCTGAACAGCCGGCAGAGGAGGCAGGGGGTGGAAGCCTATGTGGGGTGGGTGACAGACTTTTCACCCCGCCCATTTCTGCTTTTTAATTAATTTATTAATTTTATTTAATTCTGCCGCCGCAGCCTTTGAGCTTCACAGGCGCTGACACACAACTGGACTCCAGATGATGCGCCCCAGGGCCAGGCCTCTACTTCGCTGGGTTGGGCGGGGGCGTCGCTTTTTTTGGCTGGTCACTGTCCTTTCAGAGCATTTCCTGTCAGGCCTCTGAGCCCTGCCTCCACTCTATCTGCAGCCCCTCCTTTCTGGAATCTTGCGGCTGGAGGAGGGGGCCTTTGTGGAGCCTGAGCTTTAGCAGCTCCTGCACGTCATCACCCGCCTCTGCAGGGCCTGATTAGCCCCATGCTAACCCAAATGAGCACTTGACCAGGCGACACGTCAGGTCTGGAGACTGAGCGGGGGCGCTGGGCATCACTCACGCCCAGCGACAACGTAGCGGGGGGTGGGGGTTGGAACGGGCGGGGGGAAGGGAGAAGTCCTTCACGACTGGGCCACCTCGGTGCAGCCCTCCCTACTGCTCGAATGCAAATTTGGAGACTGGCCAGAGGCTTTGAAGTCGTGACTATTCGCTGTCAAAGTGGCCCATGGACCGCAGAGTCAGACATGTATCTAACTAGGTGCGGAGCTCACTCCTCCATTGAGGCCAAGGCATTTATCCATTTCCCTTCTTGGGAATCTGGAGTCTGTTTCTGAAAAAGAGTAGATATTTTTTGGGGGGAGGCAGGGGTAGTGGTGGTGGTGGTGGTGGTAAGAGATTCCGGAGTTATCATCGCCTCCAGAGCTGCCTTCTGCCAGAGTACCCCAGAGTCCCCCTCAGCCCCTTATTCCTCCTCTGAGACCTTCCCCATTTCTTGGTTGAGTAGGTGTCTGGCGCAGGTGACAGACTGTGGAGGGGTTAGTAACCTCTTGGGGGAGGCGGTTCAAAATACATCTTCTGACCTTAGCTTCACAGCGTTAACATTGGGATCGTTTCTGAAAGGCTGTTGGCAAACTTAAATGCGATAATTTCATGGAAGCCTTGCAGATGGCCCAATAGTGAAAGTTCAGTTAAACGTCTATAAAAGGCTGCCTGGAACCTAAAAGGCGCTGGAAGGACATGGCTCCCTGGCTACCTACTCACCCCTTCCCGTACCACCCCCATCTCCAAATAGTGCAAACCCTGAATCCTGGTAGAGTCAGGCTCACAGAGACATCTACCGCTTTTGGCGTCTTGGAAGGGTGAGGGAGGAGACCAGGGCTGTCTCAGCAATGCCCCCGGCGCCCACTGCAATCTGCCTCCGCAGCCTGCGCCCTCGGCCGGCGGCTTTGTCCTGGCTCCGTCGGGAGACAGCCCAGTCGAGTGCGACGGCGCGGACCCGGAGGCAGTAGGTCCCCGCTGAGCTCAGCACCGTGCTTTCTAAGCTTCACATTCGGGAGGCCGCGGTTCCCTAGCTAGGCTGTCAAGACGAGAGGAGGGAGGCATATTGCTGCGAATCCCCTTCTAGTCTCTTAATGACATCTTTGCAAAGGGCTTTCCCTTTTTGTGATTGTAGCTGTTGCCTAATACCCTAGGTAAAGTCCATGGTCCACCTTTACATAACCCTGGCCATTCTAGTCCCCGGCGCCCGCCCATTTTAGGGTTGATAGTCTTCTTACGGTTTCCCAGAGGACCAGATCTGCCCCGGGTTGCTGGGGGTTCCTGGCTTAGGATAAAACTGCACTTTCAAATCAGGCTTGACTTTAAAGGATTTGTATTTAAAGGACTATGGAGAAAGGATGTGTTTCTAAGGGGCTGAAGGGCTAAGTCGGTGTTTTAAAAAATCGTATTTTTCCCCCAGAAGAGCCTAAAAATACAGTGAGAAGCAGTAATTGTACCAAGGATTAGCAGAGACAAAACAGGGATGCGAAAAAAACTAGATTTAATTGTTTACGGAACGAAAACTAGGGATCCTTCCCAGACTGGCTTTCCAGAAAGGTTGGGATGTGGGGATCTAGACTCCACGCACTGATGAGCCAAGTGTACCCTCACCAAATGCAGGACCCTAACCGGAGATAGGCATTGTAGATCTGGCTGGATACCTGAGCAGGCCCGCCATTATTTGGGGGAGTGATACCTTGGAATCTGGATGAGATTCAGGGAGGCCTAAAGCGAATTTGTTGGAAGAGGACCGATTTAACCCCCTCCCTTACTACAACCCAATCTACTTGGTTGGCCACTGCGCCTGCCTGGTCTTGGAGTCTTCGGCGCAGTGGGACGTGTCTCTCCCATGTTTCCCTTAATTAGGAGGAGGCAAACTTTTCTTGTTCCCTCCCACCAGCTTTGGTTTAGTAATCAACCCGCATGAGTCACGCCAAGCACGCAGCCCCCTCCTGCCCGAGTGACAACAGGACAGCGTACTCCAGGCTGTTGTCCCTTTAAAATCCGAATCCAAAGGGGTAATGATTTATCAAACGTGTATTATCAGGAAGATGTCAAACGAAGGGCACCTTGCTTCCCACTGACGCAAACCCGGCCTTTCCCGGGGAGATATAGAAAGCGCCTCTTGTTCCCGGGCCAAACCTAGTCCAGTAGCGGGTTTTGCTCTACGGTTCAAGCTGTTGTCCGCATCAGGCATGGTGAGTGCTTGCTTTTCTTCTCTTAAGAGGAAAGGGTGGATGTGGGGATCAGGATGGCAGGTTCGTTTTGGGGTATTTCTTTTTGGAAATATCTGTGCAGTAGGCGAGAGGCAGAGAACCATTTTCGAAGGTTTAAGTCCGGGTGTTCTATTCGTACTTGGGAGCTTTGCCTGAGGGCAGAGAGAGGTTTACCAAGTCTGTGGAGCTGAGAATTCAGCGGCACCTAAATCGGATCCCAGGCACTGTCCCTGGTGCTGAAAGTCAGGACCGCGCACCCGCCAGTGGCTCTCCGTCCAGGAGCTATTGAGAATGCCGTCTGGAGCCCAGGTTTTGGGTTTGCTACGCTTAAGCTCACTCTGTGCGTTTGTGAAGCAGGTTTAAGGTGAGGGAGGCTTTCAGTTGAGGAGAAGGTAACTTGATTAGCTTTACAGTGAACGAATTATTTATATTAACGCGGAACTCTGGAAGGTAACACTAGCATGAAGAAACCAAAGGAAAACCTTTGGCAAGTCTTTACGCTTAAAATTCAAAGGGAGAAAGCTAATGAAAATTATTGGTGAATTTTAGTTCTCAGTCAAGATCAGGGGAAAGAAGAATATTAGATTCCCAGGAATGGACAGCAAAATAAAAATACTTGGCAAGCTCCGCATACCTTTCTAGGGTCTGGAATCAAGTGTAGAGTGTGTAAGGGTCAAAGCCAGTTCCTACTTTGCGTGTTCTATTTGGTTTATTGTTTCAGTGGTGGGCTGTTTATTGTTGGCAATATTTTGATAAAAACCCTTCATCATTGACTTTGCTACCTGGGCGACCAAGGTAGGTTTGGAATACTGGAGTTTGAATTTACCCATGTGGCTTCCAGCCCTGGTCTAGGCCAGAGCATCGGTTTTGTGATCACAGCTTGTCTATGAGAAAAAGGAAAAAAAAAAAAAAAGGCAATGTGCATTGTTGAATGACAAAGGAAATGGGGCGGAAAATTAAAGAATCTTTCCACAATGGTGAAGAGGATGTGGTACCCATAGCTTTGATTTGAAATCCACAGAGGGCAGGGAGCTCCTGTCTGTAGGGTTATTTCTGCACTGCCTGCCCCCTTTCCCCTTCCAAAACCATAAGTGCTTCTTTCTTAGTTCATCCTCCACCGGGGGAAATATTTTCGTCTTCATGTCCCAGGGTTACAGATGGCACTGGCGAGTTGAGAAACACGGATTCCATTTACTCCCCTGTGTATTTTGCGTCTGGACCTGGAATGCGTGCATCTGTGTATGCAGATGCATATATTTTATTTTTAATGCTGCCATGACCTTTTTTTGTTTTGCACGAACTTGACGTTGTGTTTGCAGGATTGCAGTACTTCCAAGGAAATGAATAAGCAACCAGCCAACAGCCTGGAGGCAGCAGTGCCGGGCCACCGGGATAGCCCCCGTGCACCCAGGACCAGCCCTGAACAGGACCTGCCTGCCGCCGCCGCCGCCGCCGCCGTGGCTACAGCCGCGGCGCCACGTGTGCCCAGGTCGGCTTCCACCGGCGCCCAAACTTTCCAGTCCGCGGATGCGAGAGCCTGCGAGGCCCAGCAGCCCGGAGTAGGCTTTTGTAAACTCAGCAGCCCCAGGGCACAGGCGACCTCCGGGGCCCTCCCGGACTTGAGCGAAGGGCACAGCGCACAGGCCAACCCCCCTTCCGGGGCCGCTGGGGCCGGCAACGCGCTACACTGCAAGATCCCAGCTCTGCGTGGCCCGGAGGAGGACGCGAACGTGAGTGTGGGCAAGGGCACGCTGGAGCACAACAATACACCAGCTGTGGGCTGGGTGAACATGAGCCAGAGCACAGTGGTGTTAGGTACCGATGGCATCGCATCGGTGCTTCCAGGCAACGTGGCTACCACTGCCATACCGGTAAGCAAGTCACCAGAGGCTGCCTGCCTGCTGCTCTCCAACCGCGGGAAGGGAGCTGGGCCCTGGCGGGTGCACGTATGCTGATGGGGAAATGGGTTGGCAATGCCAGGTGGTGGATGCTGGAGGCAGCTTTGGGGCTTTGGAAGCTCGCACTGCTGGGGGCGGGGGTCAGGCCGTCAGTTAAGGTTTGGTGTGTGTGTGTGTGTGTGTGTGTGTGTGTGTGTGTGTGTGTGTGTGTGTGTGTGTGCAGCGACCGTGCCAGCAAGGTTCGGACTTGCCCTTCTCAGCCTCAGCGGTAGAACCGGTGCAGAACCGCTAAATAAAAGCAGATAGATTCTACATCTTGCAACAGACGTCCCCATCCTATCAATGTCTGGGTCTTTTTGTTTCTTCAAAAATCAAAATTCCGATTCAAAAAGAAGCACGGAGACAAGCCTGGCTTGGTAGGGGAGGTGGATGTAGCTTATTCTTGAGGGCTTTTCTGGGTGAGCCAAAGTTGCAACCTGTGAACTCTTTTAATGGGAGGCCGCTGAAGTTTATTAAGCATCAGGGTCTCTTAACTTGGGCCCTTCCAAATCTCAGTATCTAATTTTTAATTTTTTCCCCTAACAGAGACTCTCACTTCCATAAGGTTCAGTTCAGGCCCTTCCCATTTGTATCTCTCCTGCATTTACCCCTTAGCCAGAGATAGGAAAAAGCCTCCAGAGCGGACCCCCATCTCCGGACCAGTGATAAAGGCAATCTTTCCTCCACATAGGCTTTGTCTCACCCCAGCGGCTTCTCTTCCTTTTCTGATTTCTTCTTTCCCCCATGCTGTTTCAGACTCCAGCTCTTCTCCTTCCAGGGCCTGCCTTTCCTCCAGCTCCCCTTCATCCTTGGACTCATGGGCTAGGTGTGTGGCCAGAGCTCAGGCTTCGAGTGGGCCAGATTACCATCACACGAACCATGTAGGGCTCAGAGCTTCCTGTCCCGAATCACCACCCTCCCCCAACATACATAGTAGGAACTCAGTCGTCCAGACATCAGGGTAACTGGAAAGAACCTTACATCTGCATGTTTCTTTGCTTTGGGCATTTCTTTCTAGACCCTTGTTCTGCGTATATTATGTGCTTTTTAACAGCATGGACCCAGCAGCAGAATAGAAAATATGTTTCACACACCTCTCTTTACCTCTGCACTGCGACAAAAAAGAGCTGGAACTTGTCAGCATACCTTGTCGGCTGTGTTGGAGGGTGGGGCTAGGGGTGGAGACTGTGTGCGGTGTGCCGGTGGAACAGCAAGGGAACTTTAAAGGGCCAGAGAGGCCTTAGAGTACCAACCTTTCAGGCCTTCTGACACTCACTCAGCCCTTCTTCTCCTGCTCCTAGGCTGTCTTCTCTCTTGACCATTACCGCTTTATCATCCGTGACCGGGAGGCCCTGAAGTACTCCCAGCTGGCACTGGCTAGGTGATGGGTGGCTGGGGAGCACCTCCATGTCTAGGTGTCAGGAACACTTTCAGAGTTCACGAAGGGTGTCCTCCCCATTCTTGTGCTGAGGCTTTCTAGAATCAGGTACACATGAGCTTGGAGCCATGAGCTCTGAGAGTTACAGACTATTTAAGCTGACAGATGCCTCAGAGACAGGTATTCAGAGCCCCCCCCCCACCTTTGTCTAGATGTGGACACAGGCTGAGCCCAAGCCACTTGCAGGGAGCTGCCTTTGCTTAGTAGGAAAAGCTAGATCAGAAGTCATGGTTTTGGCTGGCCTGTCTCTTACCACATCAATCTTCTCTATTCTCTCTCTTGTTCCAACCCCAGTTCTCTGTCTTGCCCATTTCCCTTGCTCCAGGTTTGAAGGATGCACCTTTTGAAATTAGCTGACTGGACAGGTTTTGCCTGGGAGCTTTGGCAGAGAAAGTGAGGCAGGGGCTGTGGCTGGCTTTAAGCATTGCAGTTCTTGTTTCGGCACACATTTTGAAGAAAGCGCTGAGGAAGGATGTGCAGTGAGGGCTGTTTTTAATGGTGGGGGGAAGAATTGGTTAGGAACTTGCTTGCTGGGAACTCCAGGCATGATACTGGGGGGTCTGCTTGCCAAATGAACTCCTGATGAGAGGTTGGGTATGAAGGGAGAGATGTGCTTGCTTACAGGAACAGGGTTTGGGGGAAGGCTGCTTGCTGGTGTGCCCTGACTGTAGGGTTTGGGAAACAGGGTCAGAGGTCTGATTAAAGTGGATCTTTACAATAAAACTTGGGGGCCTGCTTGCTAAAAGACTCAATGCAGGGGTGAGGGGTGAGGGCTCTGCTCGCGGTTGCATCCATTCTTCAGATTTGGGATCCTGCTTGCCGATGCATCCTCTGTTGGAAATTGGGGGTCTGCTTGCGGGGGAAGGACCCTCAGCTGTGGGGGGAGGGCGGAATGGGGCCTGCTGAGGACCTACCTGGGTCTGCTATCCGACAATGTGCTTTTCCGCCCTCAGGAGGACGAGCAAGGGGATGAGAATAAGGCCCGAGGGAACTGGTCCAGCAAACTGGACTTCATCCTGTCCATGGTGGGGTACGCAGTGGGGCTGGGCAATGTTTGGAGGTTTCCCTACCTGGCCTTCCAGAACGGGGGAGGTATGGCTTTTCAGCTCTTTCCGCCTGCGGAGGGGGCGGGCACTGGAGGGTTGGGGGAATGCATCCGAAGACCTTAGGCAGCGGTTGGGGGGAAAGCTTGGGACAGCTTGGTCCTCTGCAGGCCGGACTGCAGGAGCGAATGGAACCCGCTGGATTTCAGAGCGGAGATGGGCTCAGCTGAGGCATAGGCCTCATTGGGGGTCCCCTACTGGCCCAGACTGGGGACTGGGGCACAGCCAAGTGTACAGGGAAGCAGGGATGTTCGAACTCTAGTTAGATGTCGAGTAGTCAGGAAGCATGGGCTTAATCGCAGGAAATGCACCTTAGAGCCAGAAGTCCTGCCGTCCTGGAGGTCGTCCTGGAGGTCGTCCTGGAGGTGTTTGCCTTAAGGTTGTAAGTGGGAAATGCGAGCCTCCTTCTCGGTTGGAGACTGCGAAATGAACAACCGTGGCAGAAGGCAGGGTGCAAGCAAGCAGTGCGGAGCGTGGGGGCGTACCTAATCAGAGGCTCCTTGGGAGCACCCCACCCCAACTCCCCTTCTTGGGAAGAGGCAGGAGGTATTTTAATTTTAGTTAAGTCATTTAGCAAAGACGAATCTTCTTCCATGTGTCCTCACTGTGTGAAAGACGCTGCCTTTGAAAGAAGAGTGGGGGCGCCATGGAGCACGCATTAGAACTCACAGGATCTCGGGTGTACCCACCAGGAAGGGATAAATACAAACAGGGTCCCTTGGCTTGCCGTCTGAAGTCGAGGCGAGGGGCTGGCAGCATGCCCCAGGCCAGCTGACAAGGACCCTCCAGGAATTCAACCTCTACAGGACCAAAAGTGCAAGAAGCACGCCCCTCGCCTAGTCCTCTGGCCCGGGCTTAGGCTCGCGTCAGGAGGTATTTGGTGTCTGGAGTGGAGCCCGTGCTGCAGCAGGAAACAGTTACGATGTAAAATAGAAGACACTTTCCTCCATGCCCCGCACCTCCAGTTTCGAACAAGGCACTTGACAAGTACTAATGCGGCCTGCGGAATGTTGGCAATCAGGGGTGCTCTGGAAAACTAAGAGGACTTAGGAGCCCCAGCTGGGTTTCCATTATTTTTATTTTCCCCCAGCAGGGCGTCCTTAGGGCTGAGTGCAGGGGTGTGGGAGGAGGTGCTGGTCCTTGGGTCGCAAGGACCTGGTGGGGGGTTTGCGTGTTGGGGATGGAGCGAGGGGAGGGATTCCAGCAGAGAGCTTTTGCCCATGCAAAGGCTTGCCCTTGATTCTCCCGGTCCTGAGGGCCTTAAGGGGCTGCGGAGAATAGCGGAGGCTTTGTCCGCAGTGCGGCTCAGGCGCCCCACAGCCTGCAGCAAGAATTGGGAGCTAGGCTCTACCTCCTCAGGACAGGAAGGGTTGCACAATGAACATTTTTATTTTATCGTAAAAAAAATTTCTATCCAGAGAGAGTAGAAAAGGAGCCCAAGCCTACACCCTAGTAGTTCCTGGCAGCTGCTGGGACCTTCCCTCCTGGAGGCTCTGGCAGGAAACGCCCTTCTGTGGGGCCAACCCAGAAGAAGTCAGGGGAAAGAGGAGGGAAAGAGGAGGGAAGTGGTTACTTCATCTGGGCAGTCAGTCTTATGGACTCTGTTATCTCTACTCCCCAAATTGACCTTGCCTCCTGCGAGGGTATTCCCTGGTAATTCCCTCCAGGCCTGGGAATCCTTGCAGAGAAAGAGCTGCCCAGAACCCAGAAAGGCAGTAGGGGCCCTGCCTCTTCCTCTGGGCCTTCTGAGGAATCAAGTTGAAGGAGAATCACTTCTGGGGGCTCACAGTCTGGACAAGACAGCCACATAAATATTCTGAAGAGAAGGACACTTGGGGCAAGGGACTGTGGGAAGACTTCTCCCCAGAAGGAGGGCTGAGAAGTGAACTCTACAAGGAGAAGGAAGCTGAGAAGTTTGCAAAGGTTGTGTGGTGGTGGTGGTGTGGCCAGGAACTTGACTGAGTGAGTGGCCATCCAGCTGCCCTCAGGAAGAGCAGGCCAAGCTCTGGAGGGGCTGGGGGTGGTGGTGAAGGGGTGTGATTCCCTTGGATTACTCAACAGGAGGCTTTCTAATTCCAGTTTAGCTGAACTTAAGTCCTTAGAGGGCCTAGGCATTGACGGGAATCCACAGAATCTGCCTCCAGTGAAAGGCATGGATTTATGGAACCATGGAAGGACTTAATTTGGAGGGTGGGAGTGGGAAATGAAGCATTGTAAAGAACAAAAGACCATTAGCACACAACTTCCTGTCCGGTAGGAAATTGAAGCAAGTATTGAATTCCAATGTATATTTCTATGATTTTTGGAAGAAGACCCCAAACCACCCTGTGGGTGCCTTCTGTTAAGCTGGGACACCAAAAGCTTCTTCAGTTTATTATAAGGAGCCCAGTCCCAGTCCAGAGGGTGAAGTTGGGCCAGAGCCCGGCCATGCCTCCTGACTCTTCCTTCCCACTTTCTTTCCAAGGTGCTTTCCTCATCCCTTACTTGATGATGCTAGCGCTGGCTGGCTTGCCCATCTTCTTCCTAGAGGTGTCACTGGGCCAGTTTGCCAGCCAAGGGCCTGTGTCCGTGTGGAAGGCCATCCCAGCTCTACAGGGTGAGTGCAGTTCTCCTCTCTCCCTCCTGGCCCTGCCTCCCTGCCTCCCTGCCACCTTCTAGATTTAGGGAGGGCACCTGCTCTGTCCCTTCTCCCCTTGATCATCTGCCATTGTGGGGTCCTGGGCAGATTGTCTCCATTTCCCTGGTAGACAGTGTCCACTCCACTGCCTGTGCATCCACCTGTGTGGAGCGTCTGTGTGGGTGTGAGTCTGGCGTGGGGTGCGGAACGACATGAACACGGGTCCTTCACCTTTGCAGGCTGTGGCATTGCGATGCTCATCATCTCCGTCCTCATAGCCATATACTACAACGTGATCATTTGCTACACACTCTTCTACCTGTTTGCCTCCTTTGTATCTGTGCTGCCCTGGGGCTCCTGCAACAACCCATGGAACACGCCAGAATGCAAAGATAAAACCAGACTTTTACTAGGTAAGTTTGGGCCTATGTAGCTGCATGTCTTATGCAGTTCAGTCATTCAACAGATACTCAGCACTTACTATACAGGGAAGTCCCCCGTCCCCCCCCACTAGGTTGTGGGACATAGAGGCAAATTCAAACATCCAGACATCCTTAAACTCTAACACTTAAGAAAAAAGCTCATGGCAAAAGGGGCTGGGAGAGAGGAAAGTCTTGTTTGCTCCCAGAGAGCTGGTGTGTTTGTTAAATGTACAGTTTAACACTCCTACTCGGGAGGCTGGCTTTATTACTGAAGCCAGGTGAAGCCAGGAAATTTGCATTTTTACTCTCTAGGACCTTGTTTTGTTTCATTGAGTGCTTGTCGGCCCAGCTGTGTGATTTTTTTTTTTTTTTTTTTGGCCAAGATCCTCCTTGGAGACTTCTCAAACCAATGGCACAAGTTTTAGATTCCAGGAGCCCCACACAAGGGATTCCTGAGCTCGGTGTGCAGACTGTGACCCAGACTCTGCTAGACATGCACATAGTACGAGGGCCAGGGAGAGGGCCGCCTGCCTGCTGTGGGGAGAGAGGAAAATTGTACTGGGCATATGAAATCCACGGGATCCAGGAGTCTGGGAATACATTTTCAGCTTATTGGGTGGAAGGAAGGAGTGAATGCCAGGAGACTTGGGAAATAGAAATAGTGACTTTTCTGTATTCCGTACCCTACTTCCTTATGTTGACCAGAGAAAAGATGGGGGATATGACAGCAGCAGTGAAAGTGTTACATCCGTGGCAGCGGCGGTGGGAGGCTGGATAGTGTTGGTCACTTTGGGAAACTATGGTCACTTTAATAGGTACCTATAAGCAAAAGCTCTCTCCCAGGATAGCATGGTTTTCCATGTAAGGTGGGTTCTCACTGAGGACAGCTGTACATGATCTCTGTGATCTGTTGGTAATGTTCACTCACTTCCCCAAACAGTTCTTTCCCCTACAGAGCCCATACCTTGCAAAACTTGGACACTATTTGCCCCTGTGGGTGTGTGAACAGCATAAAATGAGTTCTTCCTTCCTGTATCGGTTACTTTCTGTTGCTATGATAACACACCAAGGCTCGAGGTGAGTTTTGGAAGAACGAGTGTATTTTGCCTTATGGTTCGTTCCATTGTGAGGGAAGGTCCAGCAACAATTGGCAGGCATCACATCAGGAAACAGAGAACAAACTGGAAATGG